CCCCCCCTTTACGCGTCATCTTTCTCGTCGTTGTTGTTCTCATCATCGGGGGGGCCCGAACCCAACCAATCTAGCTTCTTCGCATCCTCCGGCCCCGTTATGCTCGCGTCGTGCCTGAAACCAATGCCGCAGGGTGCCCATTGAGGGATGTAGTCGGGGTACTGTCCGAACGTAGCGTTCGCCTTCCCGAGCCTCTCTGTGATGACTTTCGCGGCGCGGACGACAGTTCGTCGATGATAGAAGGAGTGATGCATGGACGCCACGAGTGTGGGCTTGAAGGGCTTCGCCACGAGGTTCGCGAAGTAGAAAGCCTTATAGTGGTTGCGCGGATCGTCCCCCGCCATGCGCATTATCCACATGCAGGCCGCCAACAACAGCCTGAAGCAGTCAGCCACCCGGGAGATCGCTTGCTGCAGCTCTGATTGGTCGGCGATCCTGCCTACGCGCGTGCTGGATTTGGGCAGTACGACGCTCCGAGGGACGGCAGGCGGTGGAAGTCCGCTGGCGATGGCGACGAAGTACTCTTTCGTATCGTGGACGATGTTGTACAGTCTTTGCCCCTCCCCCGTCGTCCAGAAAGCTTTGTCATCGACCCAAAGGACGGCACGATCGATGAGGTCTTTTGTCATCACTCCCCTATGTACCTGGCTTGAACCGGGCTCGCCGCCCTCCCGATCGCCTTTCTTTTCGCCACGCGCCTCCTCTCTCGTCGTCGCCGCAACTGCTGCCTCCTCTCTCGCCGTCGCAATGGGGGCCACAGTGCCTGAACCACCCACCCCCGCAGCACCTGCCGCTTCGGCCCCAACTGCGCGCGCCTCTGCCACGACTCCCCCCCCACCGCCGCGTTCGACGGACCCTCTGTCACCACCCTCGTTGCGCTGACGTGGCTGAGACGGCGTGGCGGGCAGCCTACCCGAGACTGGTCTTTCATTTACAGCAGCGCGTGGCGTCACCGCCGGCGGTGGGGTCGTCGTTGTATGAGTGGGCATGCAACTTCTATCCAAGGGCTCGTCATCCTCGCCACCAAGATCGACGACGGCAGCCTTCTCTGTCCGCGTATCGCGGGCACGCAGCTGCTGCGCCTCGGGTGGAGGGGTCAGCATCCTCTTCGAAGTGCTCTTATCAGAAGAGCGTTGTCGACCACTCTCCCGTACTGCAGACGTGGTCGCCTCTGCCTGCTCCTCCTCCGTCGTGAACTCTTTCCTGTAGTCCCCTTCCGCTGTCGCCGCCCAACCTTGCGGTCCACAACGAGGCACCCTTGCTGACACATCTTTCAAACGCACCCTCTTCGCTTTCGGGGCATGTCGCCGACCTCTTCCCTGCCCTTGGTTGTCGTCAGGGACTATGCCGCGCTTCTTCCCCGGGTGTTCCCTCGCGTAGACATGCTTCGTGGCGACCTTTGTAGGCGAGCTTGGCGGTGTGATCGGATGAGCGGGAAGTGCTTCTCCGACCGCCGTTTGAAGTGTCGCCAATCGGGCGAGAAATATGTCTCCCATGCTGTTGTGGCGTGACGACGACGGATACCCCCGCGACGCAGAAGATCTGTCCTCCGCGGGAAGAAGACGACGACGAGCACGTGGAAGACAGAAGGATGACGACCCCAGCGACAACACTCCGCGGCGAAAAGACTGGCGGCGAGAAGAATAGAAGAGTGACTCTCACAGTGATCCGCGGCGAGATGATTGACGGGCGGCGTCGGCGTGGCAGACAGAAGGACGACAACTCCACCGAAGATCGTCGACGAGACGAGATGGCTAAAATGGCGTCGGCAGTGGTCGTCCAAGGAACTGAAGATGTCCTCGCGGAGTGGGCGACATTTATCCGCGGCGAGCAGGCTTGTACCACTTCCATGTCGTTGCGGTCGGTGTGCAGCAGGTGCGGCGGGCTTCTATATTGGAGACACCTTCATGCGGACGACATACATGCGGTTTGGGATGCGCAGGACTTAAGTACTCTCTCGCAGATGGACCTCCCGCGACGTCGCTTCTTTGTGGCGGGAAACGACATCGTCGACGGTGGCACGTGCGACCGCCTTGCCCACCCTGGAGTGTTATTTCGATCCTTCCCAAGGCGCGAAAAGACCCTTCGACATCCCTGGTGACGCGCGTCAATGGACTCGCCAGGGACCGACCCCCTAGCCACCCCATCGCGTCTCCCCCTCGCAGCCACCAGACACCCCCGCACCCCCCCCCGGCCCCCCTAACTCCAGACCCCCTCCTCCACAATCCCGAAACCTCAAACCCCCTTCCACATGTGG